AGAGGGAGGAGAGAGAAAGAGAGAGAGGAAGAAAGAAGAAAGAAAGAAAGAGAGAAAGAAAGAAAGAAGGAAAGAAAGAAAGCGAGAGAGAAAGAAAGAAAGAAAGAAAAATTCAAATTGCGGATTCAAGTTGTAAAGAAAACGGATGGAAGAATTTAAAGGAATCACGTGTTTTATTTTTCCGGATTTCACACTGTCATTTTTTATCCGCTTTCTCTCCTCTTCTCTTTTCTCTGTCCCTTCCCTTCTTTTTATCTCATATCGAAATTCTTATCTTTAGTGTGTTTCTTCCAATTTATCAATATGCCTTCCCTATACACATAATATATTTCAGGAATAGTGAGAGAGAGAAAGGTAAATAGATAGAGAGTGAGAGAATGAGAGAGAGAGAGAGAGAATGAGAGAGAATGAGAGAATGAGAGAGAGAGAGAGAGAGAGAGAAGAGAGAGAGAGAATGAGAGAGAGAGAATGAGAGAGAATGAGAAGAGAGGAGAATGAGAATGAGAATGAGAATGAGGATGAGGATGAGGATGAGGATGAGGATGAGAATGAGAATGAGAATGAGAATGAGAATGAGAATGAGAATGAGAATGAGAATGAGAATGAGAGAATGAGAATGAGAATGAGAATGAGAATGAGAATGAGAATGAGAATGAGAGAGAGAGAGAGAGAGAGAGAATGAGAGAGAAAGAAGAGAATAGAGAGAAGAGAGAGAAATGAGAGAGAGAAGAGAGAATGAGAGAGAGAAGAGAAGAGAGAGAGAGAAGAGGGAATGAGAGAGGAGAGAGAAAGTGAGAGTAAGTGAGTGAGTGAGTGATGAGTGAGTAAGTGAGTGAGTGAGTGAATGAGTGTGAGTGTGTTTATGTGAGTGAATGTGTCTGTATACATGTACACACGAAGAAAAGATAGAGAGGGTGAAAGATGAAAGCATTGGGACAGAAGAGAGAGAAAGAGAGAGAGAGAGAGAGAGAGAGAGAGAGAGAGAGAGAGAGAGAGAGAAGAGAGGAGAGGAAGAGAGAGAGAGAGAGAGAGAGAGAGAGAGAGGAGGCGAAAGAGAGAGAGAGGAGAGAGAGAGAGAGAGGAGAAAGAGAGAAAGTGAGGGCGATTGAAAGAGAGAAGACAAAGAGAGAAGACGAAATAGAGAGGAGAGAACGAAAGAGAGAGGGGACAAAAGACAGAAGACGAAGAGAGAAGAGAGAGAGAGAGAAAGAGAAGAGAAGAAGAGAAAGAGAAACGAACACAAAGACATAGAGATAGAGAAGACAGAGAAAGAGAGAAGACAAAAGAGAGAGACGAAATAGAGAGGGAGGAGAAAGAGAGAGAGAGTGGACAAAAGACAGAAGACGAGAGAAAGAGAGAGAGAGAAAGGAAGAGAAAGCGAAGACAAAAGACAGAGAGAGAGAGAGAGAGAAATACAGAGAAAGAAAGAAATAGAGAGCAACAGAGAGCGCGCACGAGAGAGAGAGAGAGGGAGAGAGAGAGGAGAGCATCCGAATTTACGCATACGCAGGCTAGCGACCCCGGCAACCCAGGCTTCACGAACTCAAACCTTCTCTCTCTCTCTCTCTCTCTCCCTCTCATTCTCCAGGTACGTGTGTCAACAGCAGCAAGCGACGCCACAAGTCTACGGGGAAAACGCTGCCAGTCTCGCCCGGGCAGTCAGCACGGACGGTCTGTACTTCTCCAACCCTGCGCGCTCGGTCAGTACACGGTCCGCCGCCATGCTTTTTGTTTTGGTCAGGGATACGAACCTAATGTGTTTACTTTTTTTTTTGAGTTTGTGCGTGATTTGATTTATTTGTTCTTTTTTAGGATTCTATTTTAAAGGGTGTGTATTTGATGTAGTGTTTTTATTTTTTTGTGTGTGGATTTTGAAGTGTTTTTTTTTTTGTTTTGTTGTGGTTTGGATGAAGAAAAGATAAATATGTTTACATCCGAGCCTTCCCTGTGTGGTGCGTCAACTAAGTGATTTATATCGACCCGACGATTTTTAAAGGGTGTGTATTCGATATAATTTTCTATTTTTATGTGGATTTTGAAGTGTTTTTTTTTGTGTTTTATTTGGATGAGGAGAGGAGAAATGTGTTTACATCCGAGCCTCCCCAATGTGGTGCGTCAACCGAAAAGTGATTTATATCGACCTGAAGATTGGCTCGAAATGTCAGTTGAATTAAGGGCTTTGGCTCCACACGCTCGGATGACCGGGGGGGAGAGAGGAGGAGGAGGGAGGGAGGAGGGAGGGAGGAGGAGAGTAGGGGAGGGGAGGGGAAGAGGGGAGAGGAGGGGGGAGGGGGGGACTGTTTTCACCGAAGTCGCGCTCTAAGAGTCGGCGTATTGAAGTGAAGGGAAGAAGACACGGAGGAAATGTGATAACGGAGGGGAAGGGAAGAAGATGCGGAAACGGAAATGGAAATGCAAGATGTGAAGATAAAAGACTTTTGCAACTTTCACGGAACAAGTAAGGTATTCGCGTTGAAAATAATGAGTATGAGAAGAGAGA